AGCGGGGAGCATCCTGTGCTAGCTCCCAGGGAAACTGCACTGGGAGGGAGGTGGCAGATGTGCTTTTGGGTCTGGTGGCCTCTCCCCTTGTGCCCTCTTGCAGTTGACCCAAGCATGGGTTGGTGGCTTCTTGGGAGTCTCTTCATAAGACCTGATTGTGTTTGCTCTCCAGGGGATAAAGGCAGAGCAGCCCCTGAGTCCTTCTTGAGTTTGCTGTATCCAGCTTGGCCTATACTTCTTGCCATGCTGGCAGACTTTTCCCAGCTCCTCCAAGCAACGTGGCAGCTCCAGCTGAGGCAGGGGCATTTGAGGGCTTCTGGCCTTGAGTTGCATGCTGGGTGGTGACACCCAAAAGTTGCCCTCCCACCATCCCTACCCTGATGGCAGCGGTGGCTAAACTTGCTTCTGCACTTCACTGCCTGCCCAGTCCCAGGTGGTGTGTCCTCCATGCCAGGTTTCTTGTGGAGAAGAGCATCACAGGAGAGATGTGAGCCTGCATTGCAGGGAGTGTCTGTTCTCTTGGTGCAGAGTGTGCAGAGGGTCTTGTGCCCCCAGCAGGGTTTGGGTCAACTCCTCTGGGGATGGGGAATGTGGTGCCCAGCTCAGCAGCTCTCTGGAGGAAATAGCAGTTCTGCTGTGGTCTACCCTGGTGTGGGGTGGAAGGTGTAGAGGATGAAGCTCATCTCCCTCTGCTGGGATCTCCACAAAACCCCGATGCAGGTCAGTGAGTACAAAAGTGGTACCTTGGTGTCAGAATTCAGTTTTCTTATAGAATAAGCCTTGCCCATGCCTGGCAGGTTCTGCATGTCCCCTCTGTTAGCAGGAAGGCAGGCAGGGGCAGTGGCTTGGCACGGGGCAGCTGGGGTTGGCAGGGCCCTGGTGACCTCTGTGTTAAGGGGCTGACCCTGCCCCCCATGCAGCACCTCTTGATGTCCTTTGTCAGGGACAGGGGCTTCGTGTGGAGTTTGTGTGCTGCTTGGCAGTTCTTGTGGCTTTCACCTTTTCCAGTCCTTAAGTAAAAGTACAGCTGTGGGAGGGGGATGCTCTGGCGGGCCTGGCTGTGGAATGGAAGTCTGGAGAGTCAGGGAATGTCAGGCTGCAGCTGCGTGACCCCGTAGTCCCAGCCCCACGTCTGACTGAGAGGTGCCCCTCCTCTCGCACGGTGAGAGGCGAGCTCTCCCCTGCAGCCCAGGGTGTTTCTCAGCAGCGTGTTGTTCCCCCACCCCAAGCAATGCAGCTCTGCAGGCCAGGCAGCAGCCTGCACGGTGTTCTGCCCTGCTGGGGCTTTGCTCTGCTGCTGAGCTGCTGTGCTCCAGTTCAAAAAAAAAAAACAAACCCAAAACACAAACCACATCCAAACTGCTGGGTTGTGGAGAATGCTTTCTAGGCAGGTCTTATAGCAAGGATGAGACTGGTCCCCTCTCGCTGGGACGCGATGGTGTAACTGCAGGGTGTGCCCAGGAGCCAAAACCCACGGTTACTCCATGAGAACTGCTGGAGAGGGCTGCAGCAGTGCTGGCAGCTTCCCTGGTGCCACAGTGCCACTGTTGCTCACCACCCAGCAAATCTTACCCAGTAGGCTCTGAGTAAGCTGGACCAGTGCCGCAGCACTCTACTTGCCACCTGACCTTTACACCCGGCTGAAGGTCGGGCTGGCACAGCAGCAGGTGACAGGGTGGTGGCTGCTCCTGCCCAGCAGCCTGGCAGGAAGGTGGTGGTGACTTCTGGAGTGGCCCCTGGCTCCTCCTGCCAGTCTCTGCTGCCAGCATATATGAATGAAAGGTGAATTCCTCCTCCAAGTTCCTCTTCTGTGTGCTCGGGCTGTGCTTTCCCTTCCCCTTCCCCATGCCTGCTGGGGAGAGAGGCTCTGCTGTGCCAGGGCAGTGGGTGGGGAGTCCCCAATGGCTGTAGTCATGCCTTGCTGCTCCAGCCCATGGGTGACTGCCTCCTGAATGGGCTCTTTCTCTGCACATTTTGAACTGCTCTGTAGGTCAGCAGCTTGCTGAGCCCTGGCCAGCTGTTCCATTGGTAGTAGTGAAGGTCTCGGCAGCCCTTGCCTGAGCTGCCTTTGGAGTGGGTTTGGGAGCAGCCCGTGCCCTGCCTGCTCCAGGTGCCCTGCCTGAACTGCAGGGTGCTGCAGCCTTTTCAGCTTTGTTCTCCCTCTGTGTGCAGGGACAGATGGGCTTGTGAGCAAGATGCCCCACAGACAGGCTGTCATTGCCTCTCTTGGTGCTTGCCAGTTGTGGTTTGCTTGGTGTGTGTGGGGTGGCTCAGGGGCAGCTCCTGCCTGCGCTGACCATCTCTCTCCCTGCAGAGTACAGCCGCTTCGAGTCGAAGATCCATGACCTGAGAGAGCAGATGATGAACAGCAGCATGAGCTCTGGCTCCGGCTCTCTCCGGACGAGCGAGAAGAGATCCCTCTACGTCCGGTAAGGCTCAGCCCCCTCTGCCTGCTGCCTTGCTCCAGACAGCCCGCCTCAGGTGGGGTGGGAATATCCTACAGTGCAGGATGCAGAGCAGGACCTCTGTGGCTGGGTGTTTTGTAGGCCAAGAAAGCAAGTGTGATAGAGGGATCTTGAAGCCCAGAGGGTGCACCAGGGAGGGCAGTGCTTTTGCACTGGTTTGCCAGAGCTGGGTGCTCTTAACTCAAGTGCCTCTTCTGAGGACTGCTCTGCTTTATAAAGGGATGGTGTCTCTACAGAGGTCTGGGTGGCTGCTGGCCAGACCAACTCATTGGGGACCACTGTGAAGTGGGGAAATGCCAAGCACCCAGCAGTGCTTCTGCCCCAGGCAGCTTTGGGCAGCATTCATGGAGCTCTTCTTGAACCACTCCCTACTAAAAGGTTTCTCTCCATCTCCTCCTGCCATTCCTGTGGCAGGATCTGGCTGGGTGGGATATAAGGTCTTAGGAGGATTATTGCTCTGAGCCCTTGATGTGCTTTTGGTCCGGAACCAGGTGAGGGACACGCAAGGGTTAAGCAGCTGTGCAGCTCTAACTGCTGCAAGTCCTGCACCACCAGGGCAGACCCTGCTCACTGCCATCTTTCTGCCATCTCCTACCCAACACTGCCCCAGTGGAGTGGCAGTTAATAAGTAATTTTAACTTGGTAATTAAAATAATCCTCTAAATCCTTGCCTGGGACAGCCTGTTGTGCATCGGGGCTGGCAGGAGCAGGGGATGCTGCTTCCCTGTGAGAAGGCTGACAAGGGTCAAGGCTGCATCAGCCTCAGCCTGCATCTCCCACTGCATGGCTGCTCCATGCAGAGGGGCTTCAGGCTGTTGCTGAACCTGGTGCAAGCCTAGCCTTGCAGGAGGGGAGAGCTACAGCTCTGTATTCCTGCAATTCACACCTTCCCGCAAGTCTCTGTAGGCATCTTGCTTGATTTAGCATCTTGGGACCCTCTGCTGTGGGTGTGCAACGAGCTTGGTGCCACGTTAAATAAACATCTTGTTCGTCCTGCTCTCACTGCTGTCCCATGTACACCCTTGTAGGTGGAGCAGAGTTTAGGCTGGATCAGCTTGAGCTGACCCTGTGAGTCTCCTGTTCCCTGCCTGGATAGGTGCTGCATCAGGGCATGCCTATGAGCCAGAGAACTCCCCACTGCCTCTGGGCTGCATGTAGCATCTCCCATGTCTTGATGTATCCCTCTGTGTGGCTTTGGTGGCCTCTGCAGCACTGCATCCCCTCGCATACACCCAAGAGGCTTTAGATGGCTTTTAGCTGGGCAGCACCTTGCTCAGAAGGTGATCTCCAGGCAGAGCTTTTGCCCAGTATGGCCCTTCCCAACGCTCCCTGGCTCCGGCAGCAGTGCACCCCACAAAGGTGCCTGCAGGAGCCACTGGCTGGCCCCCTTCTGGGCGGGGTAGTTTCGAGCACAGTTTATCCGAAACCAGCCGAGCTGCCACGCTATGGACAGGACATCAATTACAGGACTTGCTACCCAAGTGCTTGAGTCAGCCCTGTGAGGCTGCATTGCACTCCACGTGCTGTCAGCGGGGCTGGAGCCAGGCAGTGGGGTGCCTGCTGGAGCAAATTTGGGGTGCTGGTGCTCACCACGTGTTTCCGAGCTGCAGCTGTGCAGCACGGGCAGGGGCAAGGCAGGTTGGTGTGCTGCCTGCTGTCTGAGCTGCCACAGGGCAAAGTCTGCTTGCAGTGGGGCCATGCCAGGCAGGGATCGGGGTAGGCAGGCGTTGTGCCTGGGCACCAGGGGGAAGTTGTGCCAAGCCCCTGGGACTGCTCCCCTGCCCTGCAGCCAAGCCATCTGCTCTCTTGGCTGCTTGTGCAGTGTGCCTGGAGCTGGCCTGGGGGAAGAGTGGAGTGAACATACTACTGCTTAGCCCATGTGCCCTGGGGAGCACCTACCACAGCAGGACCTGGGTGCCAGCACAGGCAGGGGCTGGTCTCCAAGAGCATCACCCCTTGGGTGTGCAGATGCCTCGTGCCTCTACTTCACAGGAGTCAGGACCTTGCACGGATCTCGCTGTGCTTGCCCTGGGATGCCAGTTGTCTGGCTGCTGTGGGAGGAGGAAGGGAGCTGCAGGGCCAGCAGTACTCTGCAGGCTTCAAGGTGTGGGCAGGGCACTCCACAGCCTGCCTCAGTTTGAAAACCAGCCTGACCAGTTCCATGGGTGCTTTACTCCCAATGGCGCTGGCCTTGCAAGGGCCTGCTAGCCATGCACAGCTTTATCTTTTGGCCAGGAGTTGCCTGTAAAGGTTGCTTACCTTCACCATGACCAAAGTGCCCTGTGGTGCTTTGCTGCTGGCTCCAACATGCCAGGGGCCACATTTGGGTGCAGAGGGACTAAGCATGAAAGCTGCCCCAGCCCTGAGCAGGCTTGGGAAAGGGGGAGAAGCCTGGTGGCTGGGTGTAGCTGAACAAATAGCGCTGCACTGGGTCTTCTCCCAGAGAGCCCTCCCTGAGCAGCCCCTCTGCTCCTCCTCCCTGTTCAAGACCAGCTTTATCAACCCAGTCCCAAGTGCACCAAGATGTTTCATTGCCTGGTGCTCCCCTGGCAGTACTGAAGCAGAGATATGGCTGAAGAAGAACCCTTCCAGCTCTGCTGCTCCACAAGGACATACCACATGGTCCTTTAGCCCTCCCATTTGCACCATGTGCTTTCAGACCCCCTTGGGAGTCCCTGTGGTGGAAAGGGCTAATGAGCAAGACAGAGGATGTCTTTCCTGGTTGAGAAAGGCTTGTTAGTGCCAGGATTAAACCAGCAACCAGCCAGTGTTTGTGGTGCCTGGGCTTGTGTCAGGATGGAAAGCGAGTAGGGCCCGGTGTCCCAGGATCAAATGCAGGGGTTGTGCTGCCAGCAGTAGTGCTCTTAGTGACTGTTCCCTTGGTTTAGTTTAATGCAAAGTGAGTGTATCAAAGCAGACGTGGTTTGAGGTCTGACGTGAGCAGACTGAGTTGCACATGAAGCCACCAAGAGCAGCTTGTGGGTACAGGCTGCAGTGCAGTGTGTGGTAGTGTGCACAGGAAGGTCATTGGTTTTTCTCTAGTTAATAAAATCTTTTTTTCTAGCTGTTTAATATTGAAGGTAATTTTTAAACTAAATAAACGGTTCTCAGGGGAAATATTTAGGTGTCTGAAAGAAATCAGTTGTGGAAGCAGATATATACACACACCCCCACCCACCCCCCTCAGATGTGTTTCCTAATTCACAAGTTCTGGACTAATGTGCCCCTATACATACATAAAGGGTGTGCTGATAGTGCTCTGCAGTCTCTGCCTGTGCAACTGCCTCCTAGCAGTGGGAGCTGATGCCCCAGAGTTGCTAGGAAGTGATGCAGGAAGCAGCCCTGCATCCCCGCTCCCCCCTGTCCCACACAGTGCTGCTCTTCTGGGGCTGCATGAGCTTTGCCTGTTTGCTAACCACAGCTGCCTTCAATGCCTCTGTGGTTCACATGCCTCTTGCAGCTAAACTTAAGAGTAAGTTGTTTTGGTCCAGCACCACTCTTGCGTCGTGTGCTTTGGGGCGCTTTTGCTGAGCCTGCCAGTGGGAGGAGTGTGCTGGTGGCTGTGTGGCCCCACTCACCTTAGCAGGAGGCTTCCCCAGAGGTTGGGTTTAAATCCTTTAATGTAGGAAGGTGGCAGCGCCCTGGGAGGTTGGCAGTGCTGCTGCCCTTTCTGCCTGGTTGTGCTCGGGAAGGGCATTGCTCCTGTCTGTGCTGCTCCACAGAGCCTTGTTCGACTACGACCGGACCCGGGACAGCTGCTTGCCCAGCCAAGGGCTCAGCTTCTCCTACGGGGACATCTTGCACGTCATCAACGCCTCCGACGATGAGTGGTGGCAAGCCAGGCTTGTCACTCCCCATGGAGAGAGCGAGCAGATTGGGGTCATCCCCAGCAAGAAAAGGTGAGTGTCTGTCAGCAGCAGCTGTCGCATGGTGCCTCCTGGAGCTCCCCAGTCTCCATGAGCCCTGCAGCCACTGGGCAGTCAGCTCAAAGTGGGATCTTCCTGTGGTCTCAGACCATCTGCCCCTCTGTGGCTGTGCAGTGTGAAGGGCACCCCAATTGCAAGCTGGGGCTGCATGCAGGTCTTCCTGAGAAGGTGTTCCCTAAAGCTGAGTGAGAATGTAGTTGAAGAAGGGAGCATTCAGCCCCCACTGTGGACCCTGTGGAGATGGAGAGCTGGTGTCAGCCGGTCTGGGGCTCCAAGTGGGAGCAGAGTCACAGCAGTGGACTGTGGGCTGCTCTGTGTGACAAAATGCCTAACTCTTGTTAGTGAGGTCCCATGAGGTGGGAAGTCACAGGAAGCAGAAGACTTGGCTGCCACTGCCTTCAGGTCTGCAGAAGCAGCACCATCTCTGTCCTCCATCCCTCCCTTCCCGGGAAGGCTGACTTGTCCCCTCTCCTGCAGATGCTGGCATTGGCCAGACCTCAGGCAGGTGGCTCCACCTCTGTCCCTCTCTGGGAAGAAGCTGCCCTTCATGAATGGGGCCACCACCTGAAGGTGCACGGAGCTGCCTGGGGAGTCAAGCAGGTGGCACAAAGGGCCCATATACAGGACTAGCAGCTCTTTCTCCCCTTTTAACTTCTGATCAGGGTGGAAAAGAAGGAGAGAGCACGGTTGAAAACAGTGAAGTTCCACGCCCGGACTGGCATGATTGAGTCCAACAGGGTAAGTGCCAAGCTGGGGCTCAGTGGGGCACCAGTAGCTAGTGGGAGCAGGATGAGTCCCAGCGGCCAGAGCTCCCAATGTGACGGCTGGAGCAATCCCAAAGCAAAGAGCAGCACAACTGGACGTGTCCCAGGCCTGCATCTGCTTGGCATGAATTCTCTGTGACTGTGTGGGGGTTGAGCAGAGGAGCCCAGGATGGTGCAGAAGCATTGGGGAAGGCCTCCTAGTTGGAGTGGTGGAGGAGCAGAGCCTGTCTCACCACAGCCTAGGGCTGAGAGCTGGCTGCAGACAGCTCATGCAGGTGAAGGTAGCTGCCCTCACCCCTTGTGTGGATCGCTTGGCGAGCAGACAAGGAAGAGATAACAACAGCCTGTCTACCCTTGCAGAGCTGCCAATTGCCCCATCAGCTTCCCAGCATCCCTACCACATTTTTTCTCCATGCTTATTTTTCTTCCTGCATTACAGTTTTCATGTAATCTCCATGATTTCATTTGAGGGTAACTGCCCTGACACAGCTCCTCATTGTCTCTTCATTTTAATTTTTCCCATGTGTTAAACACCATTATTTTTTCTATCCTCCCTTCCATCTCCATGTTCTTCAGTCGATCAAAACGAAACGTAAAAAGAGTTTCCGCCTCTCTCGAAAGTTTCCATTTTACAAGAGCAAAGAGAACCTGGCCCAGGAGAGCAGCGGACAGGAACGTAAGTAGTAGCTGGTCAGAGAGGGCAAGCGTGCATCCTACAGATCCCCTGTGTTGTGGGGACAGATTCAGCACGTTTCTGTAGCCAGGAGTCCTGGCCTCTGCCCATGTTTGGGTCTGTGCTCCGGTCATGCCAGCAGTTAGGGAGAAACCAGAGCTTGAAATGAAAGCAATGGCTGCGGGCTGGCATTCTCTTTTTCTCTCTTCATGTTCAGTGTTGTCATCCTTTCATCCAACTTTACACCTTCCTGACCCACTGCTCTGCCTCTTCCTGCTCTCCCTGCCTCTGCTGTGGGCTCTGCTCCCTCCCTGCCAAGGGCTGCCCCCTTCTGAGTGAGGTGCTAGCCATCTCCTGTGGAGCTTCTTCTGTCCCTGCCCTTTCCCTCCGTGAAGGGCTGGGGAGGTCCTGGCTGCACTTCCTGTATGCACTAGAGGTGACTTGCAGCTACGTGTTCCTGAGAGCCCTTCACCAGGTGTAAACCCTGTGGGCACAGGGAAGCCATGCCCTCGCTGGTGGAGAGCTGCCCACCCATGACTGAGGCACATCTCTGATAGCTAGCTGCAGACATTGGGAAGTCCCTAGCTCTCACCTGGCAGCACTGTTCACCTTGCCGATGAAGACAAGTCATTCAACTTGTTGCCTCAAATCCTGATGTAAGCAGCCATGGAACTGCTCACTGAACCCAGTCCCTCCTCATTCCAGATGCTAAACTGCATCCACTGCTTTGGCAAGCATCCAGACAGAGCTGTGGTCCTTGCACCTTGTGGAAGAGGAGTTGGGCAAGACAGAGCAGTGCCTCTGCCCTGGCACCAGTTCAGTGAGCACATCTGTCCCCTCCAGTAGCTCACCTGGGCACAATGCAGAGGCAGGAGGTTGATTCTGGACTGCGTCAGGGGGTGCCCGCATCCACCTGCTGCCAGGCTGGTGCTGGCTTCTAGGAACTCTGCAGCCTCTGAAAGCCTCTGGCTTGCAGTGAAGGTTATCTCCTGCAGTGCCTGGACACAGCTGGGCTCCAGTCAGCTCCCTGCTGGAGCCAGGGGCTCATTAGGACACTTCTCTTGGCCAGCCCTGTGGCACAGTGACATGCAGCACAGGCATGGAGCAGACAGCGCTCTTTGCCAGCCCATGTCACAGACTCACAGCCAGCTCCCTACCTGTGCTCTGCCACTGTCTATCCCAGCTTGCAGTGGGGGGGTCCTTCCCCTGTGTTTCCACAGCCCGTGCAAGCGCTGGGGTGTGGGCAGCTAACACATGCGGGTGGGGGTGGGAAAAGTGCCCTGCTGCTGCACATTAGAGGAGTGGCAGTACTGTGTCTGCCCCAGGGGAGTGCAGAGCTGCTGTGCCCCGCCGGTACCCCACAAAGCACCACAGAGACACGCCTCAGCCCCACGTGTCATCAGCTTGGGGCTGCAACCACTTGGCGCCAGCAGATGCTGCTTTGGCCGTCCTGCCCTCCTCAGACCCAGGGTGGCCCTTGGGGCTCTTCGGTAGAGAGGATGAGCTCAGTGGGAGGGGTCCAGCCACAAAAGGCAGTGAGCTGATGGCATCAGCTCTGAAAACATTTAACTTCACTTGCAGTTGCAGCTAAGGGCCATTCTGCACTCGAATAACTAATGCTGGTCTGGCTCTGTTTCCCTCATCCCTCTGACTGCCCTCTCCCGCGCTCTCTTCTCTCCCCCTCTCTCCCTTCTCGCTGTCTGTGAAATCAGGACTTCCCTGGGTTAAGTGACGATTATTATGGAGCAAAGAACCTGAGTAAGTCAAATTTTGATGTGCATCGTTCACTTTCCATCGCTGGCATGCCTGGTGGTGCCTGGGGAATGGCTGGGCTCCAGCTGGGGCAGTTATGCTTCTCTGGGGGCAGGGCAGGAGGAGCCCCGCCAGCGCTGCCCCTCTGCTGGGAAACACCGAGGCTGCCTGCTGGGCTTGAGGAGGTGCTGCTGCTGCACGTGGGAGGGGACATGAATTTGCTTGGGGATGTGTGCGGTGCCCTAAGCACTGCCAGCTGAGGGCTGCCTGCCACACCCGGGGTGAGCTGTACCCCCTCATCCTCCTCTTCGGCAGGGAAGGAGGAGCCCCGCCAGCGCTGCCCCTCTGCTGGGAAACACCGAGGCTGCCTGCTGGGCTTGAGGAGGTGCTGCTGCTGCACGTGGGAGGGGACATGAATTTGCTTGGGGATGTGTGCGGTGCCCTAAGCACTGCCAGCTGAGGGCTGCCTGCCACACCCGGGGTGAGCTGTACCCCCTCATCCTCCTCTTCCTCTTGCTTCTAGTTGGGCTGCCTGGTAGTTTAGTGCTTGGAGAGTCGGAACCATTGCTAGTGTAGGTGGGAGGTGGCTGTGACAATGAGTCTGCTCTGGGGTGGGTGACAGCACTTCGTTGCCACCTACCCGGAGCTGTAAAACAACAATAGCAGGAGCCCCTTTGCCCTCCTAGCTGGGTGCAAGTCCCCTTTCAAGCTCTGCGTGCACATCCACACACCCCCACACACACAACCGACCAGTCCAGAGCCTGACTTTGGGCAGGCAGTGCCCAGCAAGCCTCTGCGGGGTGGTTGCAGCATTGGGATCAGCCTGAGCAAGCAGAGTCCCAGACTCTGTCCCCTCCTTTCACTGTCTTGTCTCTGTGAGTCCCAGCCCCATCGCCGGAGGTAGGCTCCCCCATCCCTGTGCCAGCGTGAAACTGTGCCCTTCTGTGCCCTCCATATGCATGCTGCACCCGCTTCCCTTACTAGCACCCTCCTCCCCATGCACTCCACCTTTCCTCAGCCTGGGAAGACCAGCACCTGCACATATCAACCCATACCTGCCAGGCAGCCCCTTCCTGGCATCCCTGTCTCCCCCCAGAGTAGCCAAGTGTGTGCCCCTGCACGTCCGTGGTTTACCAGCCAAAGGGTGAGAGGTGCTGCCCTGACCATGTGGTGCAGGCTTGTCAGCAGGTGCTGGGGCATGGGTTTCTCAGGCAGCTGGTGCTGCCCTGCCCGGGATCGGCATGCTGGCTGACTGCCAGAGTGCCCCTGTGCCTTCTGCCCTGGCTCTGTCTGAAGGGGTCTCTCTGGTTGCTTTGCAGAGGGCGTGACATCAAACACCAGTGACAGCGAGAGCAGTTCCAGTAAGTGTGTGTCTCCCTGCTCTCCCGCTCCTGAGCACATGAGTGCATGTGTGTGTGCACATTTTAGCACTTCCATCTTGTCTTGTCCCGGTGGTGGTTCTGTTCAGAGGCTGGGCCCTCCTGCTGGTGACACCAAGATGCTGCAGCCAGCTCCTCAAGGCCAGGAGGAGCAGGGTCTTGGGGACAGGAGGGAGCCTGCAGAGCCTGCTTCAAGGCTGGGTGGTGGGTTCTCAGTCCATAGTGGTCTCCTACCTTCAATGTCTGCCACAGGAAGCAACGGCCAGAGGCCGGTTGTCTAGCATAGGTGGCTTTTGGAGCCCAAGGCTGTACAAGAACATGGTTGTTCAGCTGCAGTGAATGCTTCCTTTATCCCCAGTGAGTCCTCTAAATATCAGCAGCACATCCTCTGTCCACCCTGCAGGGTCAGCAGTGCATCTCAGTTGGCTTCAAGCTTGCAGCATTGGGAAGGGCAAGAGGAGGCTTGACCCAGAGCTGTTATGTGATAATTAATGTGGATCAAAGGCTGGTAACTTCATGCCCATTATGTTCCACATCAGCTGGTGGTGTGACAGGGCAGCCTAGAGGTGTCCCTAGGGCTGCAGGATGCTGGCAGGGGCATGAGTCAGCTCCTGGTGGGTGCAGAGGAGTTGGACACCTGCTGTGAGTGCTCACCTGCCTCTTTCTGGCTCTGTTGCAGAAGGACAAGAGGATACAATCCTGTCATACGAGCCAGTGACGCGGCAAGAAAGTAAGTCTTGGCACTGAGCTGCCTCATGTCTGCTCCAGCGTGGGCACCTCTGTTCCTAGCGTGGCCAGGGAGACTGCTGCGATCTTCTCCTGTCTTCTGCCCTACAAGGGCCAGATGAACACAAATGCAGTTTCTTGTCTGTTGCGTACAGCAGGGGAGCCAAGCATGCATGGCACTTTGTAGGGCTTTCACTAGCCTTGATCACCCCTTTTTAATAAAGATAAAATATTTCTGACCTGGTCTGCAAGACCAATGGAGAGATCCAGAGCTAAAATTGAGATGGCTTTAGTCCCCAGCTGAGGAGAGGATCATCCCTCCCTGCTTTGGGCCATGTCTCTGCTGCAGAATAACACCGCCAGCCCTCATCGTTTAGCCCTACTCGATGCTCAGTCCCTGCAGATCCTTTTGCAGACTGAATAGTCCCAGGGTCAGTGGTCTCTCCTTGCCAGAAGCTGGATCAGACGCTTAGGCTCTCATCACTCCTGCCAGCTCCATGGCATCCTTGCCCAGCTGTCCCAGTCATCCAGCTCCTGCCATGAACAAGGGAGCTGCTTCGCTGCTCTGTTACCCTAGAGACCTGCAGCACCTTCCATGGGGACTTGGAGATGTTTTGCATCAGATGGGAAGATCTTGACTCTGACCAGGAAGAGATAAGCTCATACAGAGGGGATGCCTTCAGGTGTACCCACGGCCTTCAGGGAGAGGGCAGGTTGATGCCAAAAGTGGCAGTAGGGTCATCTGCCCGCAGCACAGACAGGGCCTCAGGCTGTGGCTCTTGTTCGCAGTTCACTACGCGAGGCCGGTGATCATCCTGGGGCCGACGAAGGACCGAATTAATGACGACCTCATCTCTGAGTTCCCACACAAGTTTGGTTCCTGTGTGCCCCGTAAGTCTCAGCTGGAGCTTGGTGCCCATGCTGGAGGGAGGGCAGAATGGTGGCTCTGCTACTTGCAGGGTCTGGCTTGTCGTGGGGGCGGGGTGGCCAGGAGCAGGGGTGGATGGTTTCCTCCCAGGAGGTCTCGTGTTCATCACTCGGCTCGCTCTTCTCCAGACACCACCAGGCCTCGGCGTGAGAACGAGGTGGATGGACAAGATTACCACTTTGTCATATCCCGGGAACAGATGGAGAAAGACATCCAGGACAACAAGTTCATAGAGGCTGGGCAGTTCAACGACAATCTCTATGGGACCAGCATTCAGTCAGTGCGGGCAGTGGCAGAGAGGGTGAGTGTCAAGTGGCATTTCTGGGACCAGGACACATCTGGCCTGAACACAGATGCATTGGGCAGTTCCCCTCCTCTCCTCATGTTAATGAGGGGCCGTAACCACATTAACCAAGCATGGCACAAGCCTCTTCTCCCTTCAGAGTTCTGCCAAGCCATGTGGCTGCTTTTCTCAGCCACATTACTCCACCTCAGTGTCATACCTCTGTCATCCAAACTCCATCTGAAGGCCTGGCACTGGCAACACCAGCCTCATGCTCAGGAGCTCACAGGGCAAAGGGGCCTGGCTGACCTCAAAGCAGCAGCATTTCCTTCACAGAGTGCTGGAGTGTGCCAATGGCTTGTAAACTGTTTCACATGTTCAGAGAAAAATTCATTCCCTTTGCATTGCTACTGTCCTGCCCTAAGCAGGCAGGAATGTAAGGCCAGTGGGAGCTGGCTTGTGTCTCAGGACTGGTGTTTCATCTCTGTGGCTCCTCACTTCTGCAAGTACATCTGTATGAGCAAGCTGTTTTCTGCACAGAGCAGAGCGTGTGGGTTGGTCTGATCTCGATCATCTCCTTTCCAGGGGAAACACTGCATCTTGGATGTGTCTGGCAATGCTATCAAGAGGTTGCAACAAGCACAACTTTACCCCATTGCCATTTTCATCAAACCAAAATCCATTGAAGCTCTCATGTAAGTGCAACACTGTGTTCTGTGGGCTGTTATCCCACCCTGTACCTCTCCAGGGTGAGCGGCTCTGGCGTGTCAGGGGTTTGTATGTCTGCTGCCTCTGCTTTTTAGAAAGCAGTGGAAATTGCTGCTGGTGCTGAATTTGTACCTTGTTAAGAGGAGCTGGAGCCATTGCTGTCTCTGTGGTGTCCCTCCACATTCAATGCCATGGTGCATCCAGGCTCCATGTATTGCTCCAGCTTAAAGCCCTTTGTTCACCCCAAAGAGGATTATCCTTGGGAAATCTAAAAATAGTCCCAAATATGTGTGATGTAACTTGCTCACCTGAGCCCTGAGTCCAGCCAGGAGAGCTGCCAACACCCTGTAGTGGTGGATCACAGCTGGATGGTGGCTGAGCCAGGACAGCCCTAGAGAGCAGAAAGGAGCCATTTCCTGTGTCCTCAAGGGGGACCCTCTGCTTGTCCTGCTGCTCCTGGCCCTGGGGAATATGCAACTCCTCCGAGCAGCAGCAGAGGATATTATCTGTGAGGAGGTTCAGTAGCTAGAGATGGAGTCTGAGATCAGAAGATATGCTGCTAGTACAGAGGAGACTGGGAAAAACCCTTCTCATGCCAGAAGGGGTCGAGTTGCTTATTTAGGTCTTGTATGAGGATGATTGAACCTAGGCAAGAAGGGTGGCAACAGGCTCTGGAAAAGCAGAGAGACTTCTGCAGTGGTGTTGCAAATTTGGAGGATTGTCCAGATTTGAGTCAAGCTCTGTGCTATGGTGAAAGGGGAGAGAGGTGGCTATGGGAAGAACTGAGATGAAGTGCCAAGGCAGCAAAGAGTGTGTGGGGAAGGGTCCTGCCTATGAGAGCTGGGTCCTGCACAGCTTCCATTCCTGGTGTACGGAGGCTTTCCAGGCACCCCAGCTCCATGGGCTATTCTTGCTTCTGTTCATTGCTAAGAAAGAGTTTCTGTTTTTTTTTCTGCCTGGCAGGGAGATGAACCGGAGACAGACGTACGAACAGGCCAACAAAGTCTTTGACAAAGCCATGAAACTCGAGCAAGAGTTTGGAGAGTATTTTACAGGTGAGTGTCCTGAGCACGCTTCTATCTGATCTATTTTGTTTTTCCAGCTGGCAACTGTGACCTCTCTACCAGCACTGTCTTGCTGCAGGGTCATGGGAAAATGTCCAGCTTCATCAGAGTAAAAACGAAATTGCACTTTGCCAGCAGGGCTCTGCAAAGGGACTGCTTCAAGACAGTGGATAAGAGTAACCAGCTGTAGAGAAGGAGACAAGTTGTCAGGCAGGGTTTTCCAAGTTTATGGAAGCTTATCGCCAACTTTAATAATAATAGGAAAAAAAGAAAAAATCCACAGGCAGGGGAAGTGCAGCATAGATTCAGGATACTACAAGGCTACAAGAAATAAAATTCCCTGCATGGGGGAAAGGGGAGCATTTTCAAAAAGAGAAAAGACATTTTTGAAGAAGAAAGATTAAAAGTTAGTGACCTAAAGTGTGTGGACTGTCCTGAGTTGTTACAAAACATCTCCCAGAAAAAAACCTGGAAGTTTGGCTGGTTTCCTAAGTAGCCTTTGCTGAAGAGCCAGTAAGGGGCTGCCTGGCACTTTGTGCCTGCAGAGATGAGCTGCTCATGACATAGGCATCCTTGTGCATTAAGGGACTAATGTTTGTAACATGATTAATTCTGGAAAATCACGGACAGAAGAAGAGGCAGAAAAAAATGGTTTTCCATCTTTCCTCCAGTGCAGTATTTTCTGAAGTTCAGGAGTAATATTCCTGCCAAAACCCTGTATTACCCACTTAACATCTACCAGGAAGAATCCCAAGCAGAATGTATTCCAAAAATGGGTCTGAGCTGAGCAAATGTACGAGTACAAACAGGGTAAAAGCTTTCCCCAGATCTCCTGTCCTGGGCAGCAGTTCCAGAGCTGCTATCTGCTCTTCCAGGAAGAATGCAAAGAAAGTGCAGGCCGTGATTTTGCCAGACCCTCAGCATGCCATTAGGCACTTGCACAGTGAGTTTGAAGTTGACCTGGGGAAGGAATGTTCTTGACTGAAATTAGTTGTTAAAAGAAGTGGGTAATAGGCAGAGAGGTCTCTGTAGCAAGTTCTGCTCCAGGAACTTATAATGAGGCAACAGAGATTCTGAAGGATGATCCTGACTGGGCTACAGAGGCATGCTCAGTTACCAGAAAGCTTTGGGCCTCCATGTGCATCTTCCTCCTCTGATGCAGGAAGCACAGCAAAGTGCTTCATGTTGTCTCTGTGCTAAGCAATGAGACTGTTGCTGGTCTTTAGGTGGGAGTTACTACTGGGAGCAACAGCCATAAGCTGGTCTTTTCCAGCCTGATATTGCTGCAATTCCCGCTTCACAGCAGAGGAGGCAACAAACATGAGGTACCCCTCAGCAGCTGATCAGAAAGGATGGACAAATCTGGCACCCTGGGGTATGTGCTTGGCACACACTAGCTAATCTGCATGAGGCCCTCCTGTTCACTGCAGTGGAGTAGCTGCAGAGCCAGGGCCAGCTGCTCGCGAGCCTTGGTGTGGTGGCGTGACACGGTTTGCAAAGCTGATTAGTTGCCCGATGTGGAGAACCCAGTCAGCACTTCGTATTCGTGAGGAGCTCTGCCAGCACAGGATCAGCTCTCACTAATCCTCTTGGACATGCTGGGTTAACCTTCTGTGTCATCGTGCGCCTGTTACAACTCTTTTGACATGAGTTGTCTCATTCATTAATTGGCCACGTCACACTGGCCGCTTTGGTGCAGAGTGAAGGCCTTCCCTGTAGCTCCTGGCAGGGAAGGCACAGCACTACCTGGTGCTCAAGGTCTTGCTTGTTCTCTTCTTCCAGCCATCGTACAAGGAGACTCTCTTGAAGAGGTTTACAGCAAAATCAAACAGATCATTGAGGACCAGTCTGGGCACTACATCTGGGTCCCATCCCCAGAGAAACTCTGAAGATGTCCCCTACCTGCGTCCCTGTGAGCAGAAGATCTCTGAAGTCTTACCCCACCCAAGCTCTCTGCCCCAAGGGGGAGGGATATGAAAATTATTCCTGCCCCCTTTTTTAGATTGTCGCAAAATTGAGTTTTCTAGTCCTGTTTCTTTTGTTGGGATGAACGCATCTCATTCATCACGTGACTGTTCCCACTGTTCCTGCATGGACCTTCCCACTGCTCCATTAGAGACAGATGAGAACCCATTCAAGGTTGTTTTTTTATTATCATCATTATTATTATTAACTAAACCAAGAATCAAGATGTGAGGAGGCGGCTAAGGACTAACATAAGAAACGAGCGAGACAATGGACTCTGAGCACATGAGCTGGTATCAGAGTTCCAGGGGCATTTTTCCACGTGTGACTGTCTAACAGCTCTGAACAGTGCGACAGAAAGGCAGCAGAAAGCATTTTATTTATCTGTATATGTAATTTATATATAATATATAGAGAGATATT